TTAGAATAAAATCAGTGAAAATTTGAACAAAATCGGGCAAGGAATAAGAAAGTTAGAGCATTTTGAAATGACTAGTCACTAGAGGGCGGTATTCAATTTGATGACATCATCTGTGAACAACTCTCGATGCCTTTTGTACATAAAATTTCACAATTTTTTTGTTTTCTTCATATTTATTTGTGTTCTTGATCCGACTTCATAACATGTGAAGTAGAATATCATTTTGCATTCTATATCTTGCTTTCAGGGGAGTACATTATCTCAATCACAAGAAAGAAGGAAAAACATGAAATTTGATGTACAAAAGGCATGGAGAGTTGTCCACAGATGACGTCATCAAATTGAATACCGCCCTCTAGTGACTAGTCATTTCAAAAAGCTCTTACGTCCTTATTCCTTGCCCGATTTTGAAATTTTCACTGATATTTTACAAATATCTTAAACTTTACAATAAAAGTAACTTAGTATGAAGGTTTTTGTTTCCTTTAATTATTAGAGAAAGAAGACGATTCGTTGTACCATTCTCAACTCTTAACCCTAGTCTGATTTCAATTGCCCACCCCCCCCCCCCCCTCCCGAAGCGCGGAAACTTTGCCGTTTCATTAAATTATAAGAGAAAGAAGACGATTCGTTCTACCGTTCTCTACTCTTAATCTTGTCTGAATTCAATTTCCCCACTGGGCCCCTTAACGGTACATGTGCAGTGTTACATGATGTAAGTATTGAACGCCCGGCAGTGCTTGTCACAGTTGCTTCTGGAAAGGATCTTTTTATTAGTGTTACTGTTAGTGGCCACGGCCCCTTAGTGACTATAAAAAAACAACATATGCTCTTCCTGGCTATTTGGGAATGTGTCAGTTTGCAACAGAAATGGAGAAAATAATGTGATATCACAAACATTTATACATCACGTACGCCAGTGCGTGCCTATGTACTTCTAGACAGCTTTAGAAATTTTTACTACGGATTTAGCTCAGGCAACATTATCAGTGCAGTGCATTTTGGAATAATCTTACGAGGTACCTATTTACTTCACCTGCTTGGGGTGTGGCAAAGGCAGATTAAGGTCTTGCTAAAGGACATTAGTGCTGTGTTAGGGATTCGAACCCGTACCTTGTAGTCCACAGTATGGAGACATTTCCACTACAATACATCACCTCTACAATGCAAATGGATATTGATCCCCTTTATGTCATTTGATCAAATCTGGGCCCTGTTTCACACTGACATGCAACTCCACAGATCTATGACAAATTTCCTCATGACTAATCAAATGCGATGATTTCAGAAATTTGTATCAACCATTGTAAATTGATATTAATAACAAATTTTATGTATGAACACCCTGAAAAAATTTACATAATTTTAGCTTACAATTTACATTTCTTTATTGCCAATAAACTGCATTCCAAACAGGCCACACACATCTCAGATGGAATCAAGCCCAAAATACATTTATTTTTCCTTTTGAAATGATTTACAACTCAATATAAACAATGAACCTGATAAATATAAATAACAACAATATACAGTGTATATGTACTGATAAAACCACTTAATATAAGCATATTTGTAAGGCAATAGGCAGTTTGATTTGTAGCTTTAACAAAGATACAAAAAAAGAAAAAGGATATCTGCTCAAGGGAGATAATGAAATCTAAAACTAGAATTCGAGGGAAATACATACACATGTACTAAAAAAACATTGCATAATACAATCAATGAAAACTACATCTTACTGGTAAAACAAAAACTAATAGGGTACTATCCAATTCCATTTGACACCAAAACTTTTAATCTAAAAATTCTTTTATTTTCAACATTCTTACCAGAGGTTGAAGCAGCAAAATCAGGCAAAAGATAATTTTAAGAACAGGCTGTCACCAGTATTGAACGTGCCCGAGAACTTTGGGTTTGGATATATAAGAGGCAAAAAGGAATATTCAATTATTAACTTTTTGATCAGTTTACTTGTTCACTACAGCAGCTATCCCGTTGTTTGGGTCCTACTAACAACACTATGCTATCATTTTTGTGAACTTGAAGAAAATTGGCCATGTCAAATTAACAAGCAAACACTTTAGTTGAAGGGCATTATGAAGAGCACAATGCTTCATAACCTGACTACAATGTGGAAGAGCAACACTTTGGCAGAGGCAAGGATCTCCTGGTATACAACATAACAAATAAGATCATTGGCAATTAAAGATGACTTGTAGAACAGGATCAGAACGAGACCTAAAGGAGCTTTAATTTCAAGTTGAACTGTAATTCTATGCTAGAAACATCACCTAAAAGTCACATCTACATGTAATCACAAAGCGTCTCCATTTCGAACCTGCATTTTTTATTTTTGGGGGTAAAATGATAATAAAAAATTATAAAGGCGAAGCTTTCATCTACATCCATATACAATAACATAATTTGAACATAACTGCGCCATCTGTAAAGCACTTAGAGACATCATTGATTTACTAAGCGCCACATAAATGCGGAATACCATTATTATTAAAAAATGTATTCCCTAAATATATTACTCTGGAGCATTTACAAAAAAACTAATATTCTTCCGATAGTGAATACAGATATACATGTACATGTAATAGCGCTAAACTTCACCAAACTGCATCAAAAAGCCATGCAATCTCTATGTACAACATTAATCTCACATTTGTATATTCCTTTGAAAATACACCAGTTTTCATGACAATAATTTGAATAATTTGCTTTCTATTGTTTACATACGTTTGCTCTTGAAAAAAAACGAAAGTACTGTTCTGAAGATCCTGTAAAACCCATACATCTCTCATGAATTTTGAAACAAAATAAGATCTTATTTACAAACAAGATGAAATCAACATAATGAAATTATATAACTTTTGAGTACATATACTTTAGCAGTTCTTCATCCTTTGGAAAGTAATAAATGGGGAAGTCAGAACTGCAGTGAAGAAAAAAGTTTCTTTCCAAATCACAGATTCTAATGTTACACACATCCTCTATTTAGAGTCAGAATTCTGTGATTAAATGATAGGAGTTTAAGTTTTTATGGCTCTCACCAGATGATACATTTGATGGACCGAATTTGAAAAAAACATGAGAGACAAATATTGCTCTAAACTTCTTTCAAGACTTGAAATAAACCACACTAGCAACCTGGCCATTTAAGTATCACAACTTCTTATTTCCTCATTTACATGGCACCTTAAAGATAAACTTGAGTTCTGGTAAAAAAAGAAAATGAATTCTCACAGAATCTAACGAAACTTACACTGAATGTTCAAGATTACAAATAAATGTCATGTGCCAAACAATTTTGGAAGAAAATGTATACTGGCTGAGTAATGAGCATAGAAAGATAAGGAAATCAGGATAGTACTAGCCCCGACACCATGTGTGTTGTCCCATATACATCTTTCTGTGTAAGTGATTGTTACTTTACCAAGACTCTGCCAAATTTATGATGATTTTGATGACTCCAGAACCTTGCATTACACACCATTACTTACATGCTATATGATCAACTTTTCTGATCCATTCCACACCTTCTCTTTCACAATGCAATCGCATTACCAGAACTCAAGTTTATCTTTAATCACTAGACATAAAATCAATTTGCAAACTGTGACATCTATTTGACCCACTGCCTTCAGAAACTGATTTGTGGCTATATTAGGCCTTGGGAACGAGTGAATTCAGTCAACGGTCAGCTCTATCAGCATAACCTGTAAATAACATGCACTTTACTTTCACAAGATATGCCCCTTTTCTTATATGGTCTCTTGATTCATGCAGTTCTTGGATCAGAGTAATTATATTGCAATAACGTTACTGATTTAAGCAACATTTTATTAGCACCCTACCAATTAGAGTATGAAAATTTCACTGATGCACACTTTCAGTCTTCAAGACACAACATGTAAACTGCAACATCCATTAAATATACTTCACGCATGATATTTCCATATACTGGATATAAATTTTCACTTTTTTGATATTTCTGATATCTTTTATATCTTTTATAATTCAGCTTTTATCGCACAATATATTTGTAATGTTATTATTTGTATCTGCATGTTCATGTAATCAATTTTTTATCGAAATGAAATGAAGATTTTGCAATACATGTACATCAATTCACAAGATTTGTTTTCTTTAACACCAGTGATACACATTTTACAGATCATAGTAAGCATTGTACTGTTTCAAAGAAAAAACAACGAACATAAAGAACAAATTCTGCAACTGGGGTTTATCTGACATGTACAGATCCTGACTGATTTCATATCATGACAGGTTTGAATGCCATTCATTTTCACAATGGACAACCAATCAGAATCAAGTCTATTGAAAGGGTGATTCTGACGGGCTGATCTGATCGTCAACTATCCATTTTCTATTTTTGGAGAACTTGTAACTAAAGCAGTTCATTCTGGTTCACTTCAGTTCCGGATCCTTCCATAGTCATTCTAAAATTTCCACAGTATTGTGCTGTGCCGTGCTTCAGCTTTGATGCATAAACACTGTTGGGTAAAGCTTGCCTTGTGATGAGACCACTAGATCCATCTCTATAGTTGGTGTTCGGCAGGTTCAAACCTGTTAACACCAGTTTCATACTTGCCAACATTTGAAATTCAGAAAACCAAGCATATTATGCGGTGATCTTGGGTGATAGCGCGACGTTTGCACACCGTGCGGTGCGTATGACCGAAGGATTGTGCAGTGATCTTGGGTGATAGCGCGACTTTTGCACGCCGTGCGGTGCGTATGACTGAGGGATTGTGCAGTGATCTTGGGTGATAGCGCAACGTTTGCACGCTGTGCCGAGCGTATGACCGAGGGATTGTGCAGTGATCTTGGGTGATAGCGCAACGTTTGCACGCTGTGCCGTGCGTATGACCGAGGGATTGTGCAGTGATCTTGGGTGATAGCGCAACGTTTGCACGCTGTGCCGTGCGTATGACCGAGGGATTGTGCAGTGATCTTGGGTGATAGCGCGACGTTTGCACGCTGTGCAGTGCGTATGACCGAGGAATTGTGCATGGCACTCTATGGGCACTCTACGCACACAAGCGTGCTCATTATTACACGCTGCAAATAGAGATCAGCGTGGTACGCAGCAAACACGTTGCAAGCATCTTGCGCAATGCAATCCTTCCAGCACTCATCAAATCGATGCTATGGAAAGTCAATTGGTATTTATACTACCTAATAAAAAAAATTTAAAAATTAAAAAAAGTATTCCCCCAAATCGGAACGTCACGTTTTTCATGGTTCTAAAAACTTCACAAACGGAGCGGTTCCATTAGAAACGGAACGGTTGGCTAGTCTGCAATTTAATCTGGTTTATTCTGGCTGTACACACCCTCATTCTCAGAATGTAGACATACAATTTAAGACAAAACATCAAATATAAATTAATGCCCGAGGACAACAGTGATTAGATTCAACTTTTAAATTCCTGTGAAATAATTTGCATTTTCTTTCATTTTCTTTCATTATTGGAGCATTGAATGTGCACCATCAACAATTTTCTGGGTCAAAGTAGTTTATACTGATCTATTCTTGTTCATTCCTCTTGAACTTGCAAATCATTCTTTGCACGAGTCAATGCTACCTCAAAAAAAGAGCATTAACAATTAGTACCATCCTCTTCCACTTCTTGCTCAAAGTGGTTTATTCTGGCTCAAAGCAGTTTATTCCAAGTTAATTGTGGTTCAATCAAATTGCATCTGTACCTCATCATGATCCTGGGGTGCAATGTTGGCAACTGGGTCCTCCATGACAATGGCCATATTTCCAATTGTGCCATCTATATCAGCAGTGGGTGTGACAGCAGACGTGTCCTCATTGGACTGGTAGAGTACTTCCCTGTCACTCTTCCGGTGGTGATGATGGGGGAAGGTCTTCTGACGGGGTGAATTGAGGGAGATTGCTTCAGGGTTGGTGATGTGGTTTGGGTGCCTCACTCTGTTAACATGGACAAGAATAAAACCTTGACATTGACTCGGAGCTAAAACAGCGTTAATACAATGATAAAAGTGTATGCGTTAACGAGCTCCAAAGTCCACACAGACTATTTCCACCGCTTATTATGTTCAAAGCTCATACCTCTTGTTGTTCTAGAGATATTGTAACATCAAAGCTGATAATTTCATCATCTATGACCTATGATCCACATACCGGTACTCCAAGATCTTATCAGGTGGTCTTTTTATAGTGACACAAATTTTCCCCAAGTTTGAATTTGATAATTCAAGTGGAACTTGGGAGGAAAATACATGTAATTTCAAAATTTAACCCATGTGATCTTTGAAGTTCATATCCCAAGTGGTTCCCAATATATGGTTAAAACCTGATATTACAGAAATTGACCTCTAAGATGTTTGACCTTTGACCCAATCATCCAAGACCTACCTATTTTGTCTTCCTATGGTGATACATACTATCACAATGTTGGAAGCTTTTACCTCAAGTGGTCCTTAAGAAATTGCGATAGCAAGGCTAAAACCTTTAATTTAAGAAAATGACCTCTGTTCCTTTGACCTACTTATCTAAATCTAATGAGACTGTCTTCTTATGGTGAAACATACTATCAACAAGTTTAAGGCTGATACCTCAGTCTGTAGTTTCAGAAATTGACCTCATTTGACCATTGACTTACTTACAAAAAATCCATTCAGTTTGTCTTCCTATAATGATACATATTATCAACAATTTTGAGCATCATATATCTAGTGGTTCTTGAGATATAGTAATAACAGGAGCGATACTTGGAATTTGATGAGTTGACCTCTGCCATCTTTGACCTAGTTACTCCAAAATCTAATCATATTGTCTTCCTATGGTGATAAATATTATTATAAAGTTTGAAGTTCAAAGCTCAAGTGGTTCTTGATTAATCGCAATAACAAGAAAGCTAGACGGACGGAAAAGCCGTAAACATAATGCTTACGGCACCACCTTCGATGGTTGGAGGCATATCAGGGGGTTAATAATAGCGTTTGTAGACAGAAAATAGGAATCATTCCTCCAAAATGAGACTAGTTGGCAGCTATGTATAAAAAAAGTTTGCTTACCTTTGTAAGAGGAAGATTAATCCAACGCAGATGACTGATACAGCATCCACTAACACCCAGGCTATCAGATATGTTGTCTTTGTCTGTAAAGATAATGAAGACTGCTTTAATATGAAAAATATCTTGATGAGCTCTAGCTATTGTAGAGGTATCGTCATCGAGTGGTCTAATCACGCCATCTAAAATAAACAGGTTGTGGGTTCGATCCATAGCAAGGTATTTATTTCCTTGGACAAGGTATTTGATCTACATTGCTCCCTCTCCACCAAGGTATTAAATGGGTACATACCAAGTAGGATGCGAACGTCAATGTGATTGGATTAGCATGTTGTAAAAGGGAAACTGGCTAGTATGCTCCCCAAGGAAGTGAAGAGTGTGCACTGTAATATGCAGAATCGTTACAGTATCCAGTGACCAGGGTAATAGTGCTTTGGTAACTTAAATTGTAACTGGTAAAGCTCTTTATAAGAAACAGTTAATATATCTTTTAATAAAGTTGTTACCTTATGAGAAAGCAATAATCGATTATTAAAAATAAATAAATAATAAAATTAAAAACATTGAATTATGTAACATTTCAGTTGCTTAAATTAAAAATGTAATGATATGCTATGAATGAATTGTTCACACATTACAGGTGGGAAAAATGTTTTACTAGTACCCCATTCACAGTGGTTTTGAAATTTGTAGCGGCGTTGTAGCGGAGCGGCGACACCGCCATAACACCGCTACAAATGCATTCACAGTAGAAAAGTTATCCCGCTGCAGCAGCGGGATAAATATCATGTACCCATTCACGCTGCAGCGGGTGATTTTTATTACCTCCGTAACAAACACGTGTATGCATGGCTCATGACCCGCGAGTGACCCCGATATGACCGGAAATACTTCAGCGCGGGGTTTTCGATTGAGGCAAGCTTGCAAAAGGTAAACATGTCAAGTTGCTTTTTGTATCCTCGATCATATTACTTTTAAAAAACTAGCATTTTTATTGCTTCCAGTCAGAATATTTTAATTTTTTGAAGTGTGAAATATTTTTATTTGGATAATTATAATATCTACATAATAATAAAATCAATTTGAATCCACTGGTTACTTTATTTCTATTTCACTTTATGTTCCCCATTGCTGGAGAAAAGAGGTCAGTGATAGGTAAGTAAACAAATCACACGTGTTTGTCGCGGTGTTATAGCGGAGAGCCTTCACACTGAGTAAACACCGCGACAGCAGCGGGACTGTCCCGCTGCTGTAGCTAGGCGAACCTAGCGATAGTTTGTCGCGGCGTTATCGCGAGGCGGTGTTATCCCGCGATAGTTTATAACGGGTCCGAGCCTTCACACTGAAGACAACACCGCGACAGCAGCGGGACAGTCCCGCTGCTGTCGCGGTGTTTGAGGCCACTGTGAATGGGGTATAGGTTTACTAATCCTGCAAGCTTTCTGCATTTTTCAGCTGGACTCATGTCAAAATTTCAGCATAAACACTGTGATATTCATTCTACTCATTCAGTCAAACCTGACTCAAGGACTTAAGTCATGTTAGAAGACTCAACCATGGACTAACTTTCATTGTTAAACTTTTGCTCACATATAAAGATAGAAACTCATGGTAGTGCTTTCAATTTGAACATACATACCATATGCCAGATGGGTGTTTCTACATTCTTGAGTATGTGGCAGGCGCTAGTGGTAATGGATGTTGCCCCAACACACCAGTAGAGAGAGTAGAGCCATACCTCGTTGATGATGTATACATTTGTTGAGATGTTAGCTTGGGAATACTCACTGTAAATAAACAGAAAGGAGGTAAGCACAGATACATTTCTATAACCCAGTGGTGACTATTGGCTTAATACAGGGATCTCCCAGTTCTGCTGGTTTATACCATCATGTTAAATATAGGGCCATGAAAATGCAGAGGGGACAATTGCACTTCCAAAATATCATGGGTATAACATGTCCTGCAACATATACAAAGTTTAAATTAATTGCATCTTCCCAAGATTAATCTTATCTTCCCTAAATTTTTCATAATCTCCTTCAGTCAAATGTAACTTTGCAATAAATAGCGAGTTAAGATTAATTTATGTTACACATACATATATTGCTGAACGATTGGAAATGAAATAGATTTTTATGATTGATTGTAAGTTACTTTTTATGTTACAGGCTGTCTGATGATGCTTTGACTTCGAAAACATACATGTACAAAGGATGACAAAAGACTAGACAATAGAGCATAATACGACTGCTAGATGAGAATTAGAATTACGTTATACCCATAATATAATTTGTTATAAAACCGGTTCTAGAATGTACATGTAGGCGATCTACTTGGTCGAATGACACCAAGGGACTGTGCATCACTCTTTCCTACCACGCCCACCATGCAAAAAAGGTTCCTACATAAAGTGATAATGCATGGCTGAGATGCTGTAGTTATGAAGTATGATACTCAAACAGTTGAAATATTTTCTGTTACAAGTAGTGGGTGGTCATTTCGTAATATCCCTTTACTAAATGTAAAGTTTTGTTAGTTGCTTGCACTTGTAAATTATAATGCTTTGATTGAATAATAATTACAATTAAACAGGTGCTCAATGCTGAAATTTAAGAATTTTTACATTAAATGAGCAAATTATATATCAAAGAGAGAGCATCATATAAAATAAATAATTGATCATTGCCAATTTGTCTTGTTATAAGCCCAATTAAGAGGGAGAGGACGTCTGGAACTCACTGTATCTCTGTGTCTGCTACTTCGGAATACTCGGCGTTGACCTGGGTGATATTTTCTTCCAGTAGGTCAGAAATGTCCCCCCTGCCCTCTACGGTTTGCACAAAGCCAGGTGCCTTCTGCCGCACATATTTATTTCCACCTAACCAAAAGATCTATGTATGAATGAAAAAAGAGAAAGAGAGAAAAAAAAACTTATTTCACCATCAATTCAAGAGGATTAAAAGGCAGGAGCTCCTAAAGATGAAAGAGGGATAGAACTAAAGGCCTGTTCAAATATGCAGTAGACCACAGTATTTCTTTAAGTGTAGTTAAAGAGAAAGTTGAGTTCCGGAAAAGAAAAATAATTTGTGAGCTTTCTCATTCTTTTTATGTTAGCGTGGAAGAGTATCGTAGATAAAAATGTCCCCTGAAAAGATGGTTCTTCAAATCTTCTTAAACTTATATTCTAAATATGACAACTTACAGCTAGAGGTTGTGGACCAAAACCTCATGCCATAAGTTTGTGTAGTGACTAGTCCCATATACACATTTCTGTGTGAGCAGCATGTGTCTTTAACCAAGACTGGGCTAATTTCTTATAATTTTGATGATTCCAATATCTCATATTATACACCAATGCTTCTGCGATGCATAATCAACCTTTTCAAATTGCTTCCAGATAGTTTTTTTGTTTCACAATGGATGAGCAGAACTTAACTTGAAAGTGTAATGTACTTCACACTTCCGTATCTTCTAACACATATACAGGTAAGGAGGTAGGCATGCACAGAACCATAGTTGCACGCAGCTTCTTTATTCACCCCCTCTTGCCATTTATTTAGTACACAAAAAAATGGAGCGATTTACCAGGGCATGTGTGAAACATCTTTATTTGGGGATAAGTTTGAGCAAGTATATTATGCACATGTTTGGTCAACCTTCAAGTTGCGTTTTTGTAGGCAACTACATAATGTATTTTAAGGCTAGACTTAACGAAACATGATCCCTGGATATTGGTCATGCTGCATGATTCTTGATTTAGACTGTGACATTTCCACTCAGAAGCCTACACTCTTTAGAATAAACAAATTTAAACCTGGCTCAATGATTTAGGGATTAAATCATTATTGAACAGCATGTTCATACATAAGCTTGTACAAAATGTATTGTTTTTATACATACAATAAAATACATACATTGTTTCATCAATGTCTTGGCTCAGTCAGTAGAGCATCCGCCTCACAACCGGGAGGTCGTGGGTTCGAACCCCGGCCGCGTCATACCAAAAGATGTTAAAAGACGGGAGCTGCTGCTACCTTGTTTGGCGTTCAACATTAAAGGGATAGAGCAACGTTGATCTGGCGCTGCTCAGTGGCTGCCAGGCTCATGATCAATTGGGCAAAAAGAATTTCCAGTTTTGGTTTAATAAAATTTGGAGTGGACTTTAAAAGATTATTATCATTATTATTATATCAAACTTTCATGAACCCATTTTGGAAGGAAAAAAGCTTTGTCTAAAAACATCTGATATAACATCCAAATGTGATTGTTTCGAACTGCTTTCACCACTGATTATGACTTTTTTTTCAATTCTATTTTTTGTATGTTATCTTAATGAATTAATCAGTTCATTATTGAATGATTGATTAAGTTACCTATTTATCTATCCACTATACACTCACTCACTCACTCACTCATCTTTATTCACTTGTTATTGATTTTACCTGATTCTGTCTGATGCCAGATTGGAGTATGGTATCCACAACGATTTCACTTATATTACCATAAGGATGATTATGAGGAGGTCCAAACATATCAAAAATCACTGTCTTGTTATACTTCTTAGCGATTTCCATCAAATCAGTGAGACTCAAGATGCGCTGATCATCAAACTGCTCTCGCGTTGATCTTGGAATTGACATACCAGTATGAAAGGGGTCTTTCTGTTTGGGTCATAAAACATAAGAGAAAATTGGTGATAAATATTGATAATAATAATAATAGTCACATTTGTATAGCGCTTAATCAATGATTCTAAGCGCTTTACAACATTATCATTAAGCTTTGGGCAATATATGTTGTATTGCCCTGAAGGTAGTCAATATTACTTATAGCAGGGCAACACATTACATTGACTTGTTTTAACACCAAAGTTGATTGAGCCCGTACCATGCATGGAACAACAGAGAGATTCTATGATGTACCAGTATGAAAGGGGTCTTCTGTCTAGTTCATAGAACAGAGAGATTCTATGATGTACCGGTATGAAAGGGGTCTTCTGTCTAGTTCACAGAACAGAGAGATTCTATGATGTACCTGTATGAAAGGGGTCTCCTGACTAGTTTATAAAACAACAGAGAGATTCTATGATGTACCAGTTTGAAAGAGGTCTCCTGACTAGTTTATAAAACAACAGAGAGATTCTATGATGTACCAGTATGTAAGGGGTCTCCTGACTAGTTTATAAAACAACAGAGAGATTCTATGATGTACCAGTATGTGAGGGGTCTCCTGACTAGTTTATTAAACAACAGAGAGATTCTATGATGTACCGGTATGAAAGGGGTCTTCTGTCTGGGTCATAGAACAACAGAGAGATTCCATGATGACTTGAAAATCGAAGGTCGTTGTTTGATCCTCGACACGGCACTAATGTCTTTTGGCAAGGCTTTAATCTACATCTGCCACACTCTACCCAGGTGAGGTAAATGGATACCTGGCAGGAATTAATTCCTTTAAATGCTGGAGCGCTGTAATGGCAGCTAGGCTAAAGCTGGGGTAATAATTAATTTCAGTTTGCTATTTATCCTTCATAACATATTTATAGGTTATAAAATGAGAAGCTGAAGACAGCTTTGCACATTGACTACCTGAAGAAACCAGGAACCAGCATCTAGCTGCTTTAGTTCATCCCAAGTGAATGTCTCTGCTCTTGCTTCCGTTCTGTTGGGGAACACTGCTGCAACGTTCGTTGTTCTCTCCAGCGTATCATCATGCATTAAAAACGGAACACCATCCCAACTGGAAAAAGAAGAACCCAAAGAATTCACAGATTATACTTCGATTTATTTTATTGATTTGTCATCAACAAGAAACACAACAATGTGATAAAAATGTTATCATCATCATATAATAACCTCATTGTGGTTTTAAATTAACTTAAATCAATACAATTTTGCTGACTGTTCGCACTGGGGCAAGAGACCCTTAGGGTCATAGTGATTAACTTTGCTTTACCTCTCCTAAACACATTTGACACACAACATCAAAAGTGTGCAAATACAAGGGACAATTCAGATCAACCTAATACAACATTATAAGTTTTCAGGTGTTTAAACTATTTTTGTTCATATCACTCTTTTTGGTCACATGCTTCTTGGTTGCCAAAATTAGCTTCAAACAAACATTGACAAAACCAGGGAAAATGTGACAACATTTTGCCAACTCTTATTAAGCAACAGGAATATGTTTAACATTTTGATTTCCAAGGGAAACATTTATATTCCATTATTATCATATTACATAATCATTTTGTCTTATTATTTGTTGGTACATCACTTTTTTGATACTTGAAAACTAGGTAAATTATACCTCTACAGATTGGTGAGAACCTTAAGAAAATGAGTAAAGTACTTTTTATAATTATGGTATACCTGTATTATTGTTATTATTATTATTATTAAAGTGATCCTTTAACAATGTTAAATCTGAGATGCACGGCCCTATGTGTTATCAGTGCTTGTGATATGGTGTTACATGTATATGGAAGCCCTAAAAAATTTTAAAAAATTGCGCTTCAAAATGATCAAGAAATGCCTCAAAAAAGTAAAAACCTTTGTGTGACCAGTTTTACCATACTCGTTTTCCCCAATAGACTGTAGTGTTATGAAAACCATTTGGCAAACGCGAAATTGATTTTGATTTTCAATCATAAACATCTCGATAATCAGACAGGCGAACGGCTTGTAAAAGTCATGGGGTTCCTGACTGACCTAACGGTTTATAATTATAATTGCAGCATGAGCTAAATCAAGGATCTAAGGCAAAGTTACCGGATCCCTCTAATAAGCCCTTAACTAGTGTGAGAAATAAATTAAATGCAGTTTTGACACCCTTTCCAGAACCCAATCACAAAGTAAAGTGATGGCGATTAAACACATGTGATAACGGTGACGTCACAATGTGAACTACCCTCTATTATACATTCGGGACAACGTTGGATGCCCATTGCAATTTTTGGCACTTTAAATGAGATACCCATAATTCTTTCTGCAAATGTTTGTTTGATTATTATGTCATTTCCCGTCACATAATAATATAATGTAATATATTCTGAGGACATGTTAGCGTGTATGTTTCTGATCTGGGAGTGCAAAGGACATTTTGCATGCTGACCTACACTATCAACTCTTCTGGAGCAAAATGGCAACAAATTTACATCAAATTGTCCAGATATTCATTACGAAAATGTCTGATTAGGCCAATTAATTCATTTAAAAAAAAAAAATTAAGTCATAGTACCAGAAAAATGGGGAAAGAGGAAATAGAGAGAAAACTGAGATCAGTCCGGTTCGTGATTCACGGCTAGCTTGAGCCCTGGGCTGGCCATGGCAAGCCAGCTATCGTGCATGTGCTGCAGGCAGGTTAAATATGACCGTACCGACGCTTACCGTATATACTACAAAGACAGGCCTGCGCTATAGCTGCATGCTAGTATGTATTTTATCAACGTTATCTCCATTCGCTTTTTGAAAAGAAATTACAGATATAAAATCGATCTACAGAACTATTAAAGATAAAGATTAAAGAAACGTTGTGGAATCGATCAGAAAAGGTTGATCATCTAGCATATAAGTATTGGTGTGTACTGCAAGGTTCTGGAATCTGGAAATTTGGCACAATCTTAGTCCAAAACTGGTCTTTACCATGAAGAACCATAACCTATGCCATGGAGGAGCCTTTGGGTGTGTCTTCAAAAGACCAAAAGGTATAGTTGTTGCTGTGGATATATTGGCCACAGGTTCAACTACAAAATCGGGTATGAATGGGTACGGTACTCAATGCAATACATGTGATTTGCACACAAACTACACCGTCGTTAATCAGATTGGCTGAGCCGCCTATTGTTCACACCGGGACGTCACTAAAAAATCAGCATGTATTACATTGTTTGGGGGGTCTAGAGTGGGTTGATTTTCCTCAATTTTATTCAACTTTTATAATTTTTGCTCAAATTAGCAAGTTAAACAAATGAAATACTCTTTAATACTCAGTGTAAGATTACAATTGCAATGATACCAATTTCAGTCAAGTTCAAAATCAATGAACCTTCTCTTTAAGGAATATACAAAAACTGTTTTATAAATAAACATGTGTCTACAAGTGCTGTCTATCTCTGAGAAAAGGGTCGGTTTCAAGATGTTGTAGTTACCTTATTCTGATATCAGACTCCAATCCATAAATGCTGTTATTTACTGCTGTTTCAAATGATATCATAGTGTTCTCTGGTGCTATCTAAAAAATACAAGATGACATAAGAGAATCAAATCAAGAGCATAAATTATGAATGCACTACGGTATAATACTACAACACCGACACAAACAAACAATGCATACCAAATTGCATAAAGACCTGTTATATTGACCTCTGAACACAATAACAAGACAAGTGCTACTGCATCTCATATATGCCTCCACCCTTAATTCAGTATAGGTGATTGGTGGAATTATTTGTGACAGATCACAAAGAAAACAGAAAAGCCTAAGTTAAAGCAAATGTCAACTGACGACTACTAGCCTTTAACATGTAATTGAATCATCTTTCTTTAGTAATACTGTCAAGAAGTTTGTGATAACAAGAGTAATACCTAATAAAATTGACTTCTATTGCCTTTGACCTACTTACCAAAATTCTAATCAGATTTTCTTCCAATGATGATACATACTATCACAGAGTTTGAACCCCTTACCTCTAGTGATCCTTGAGATATCACAATAACAAGGTTAATATCTGCGCCTCAATACAAAGTATCATATTATTATCATAGCTTTAGCTGATCCGCTATGATAAGGCGTTATTTCTTCCTACCGGGTACTCATTTACATTATCTTGGTGGAGAATGGCAAATGTAGATTAATGTCTCGTCAACAGATATATGTCAATGTACTGATGTTATCATAAAGAAAAAATGGAGCTAAATTGCACAAGAAAATGTCCACTCTATCTTTAAAACTATAAAGTTAATAAAAATATCATACCCCCCTTAAAAAAAGTGCAGCTGTTCCATTTTTTTGCTGATAATATAACGTACAAATCATCATCAGAGGGAATATTTATTTCACTGTAAAGATGGATCATATCCAATTCATGATGAGCTTGATAAATTTGATTAGGGAGTCAGGAAATTCCACATAAAAAGTTGGAAAACTTCTTCCTTCCTTCCTTTTCTGCCTGTCTATAGAAACATACTCAAACACATGCAACATGCTCTTTTTGCTTCTTTGTTACTTTCAAGCTTACATGTATCTTGTCTTCTAGTAATAACAGATTATGCAATATCACAGAATTACACCAAAATTTCTCTGTGTATGTATGGTTGAGGAAAGGGAGGCATGTACATATAGAGGAGAGGGGATGATTCATAGTGATCCCCTGAGCCACCTTACATTCTCCAGATTCCATGCTATTTAAGCTATATCATTTCTAACTAAATCTTTATGGCAAAGTACCATAATTAACGTTGTTTTTTTGTTTTTAAGTTTCGATTTATACCCCTCCACCTAGCGCTATGTCTAGCAATGTCTCCCAGCTCAGTAATCGGTGTGTTGACTGACCACTCGGAAACTAGAACAACACTCAAATTTGTCTGTCATCTTGGTTTGAAAGTAATCTTTCTGATAGATCTCAATATGTAGTTTATAATAATAATTCTTCCAATTTTTCTTCTATTAAACACGGCGTACCACAAGGTTCTATTCTAGGTCCTCTACTGTTTTTTTAATTTACATTAATGATCTTACACATTCAACTGCACCTCGCAGTTAAATGAAAGGCCTTACCGCATGGGTTTTTTAACACGGACCTGGCTTGCTGACAACAGAGGGCGAAAAAGAGGGGTGCGGTTAATATACGAGGGCGGTTTATACAATGTTAATTACGGTATGGAAAATGGCTGGTTGAAGTGGGTATCCCGGTTACCCCCCCCCCCCCCCCCCTTTTAAAAAAATAAAAAAATAACAGGAACAACATATTGATGCAGATTTTATCAAAGCTCTTATTTCAATTACAAATGTACAAATAAACATGCTGACCTCTTCTGCTCCTCTGTGCCCAAACATCTTTGGTTTGGGGGGTAACTCTATCTTCTCTGCGACGCATGGAACATCCATGAAGAGTGGAATAAGATAAAAGAAGACCATGATGGCGGAGTAGGAGATGAGCAGCAGTGCTTTCACCACTGATGAGGAAGAAGAGATGCGTGGTACGGGATCAATCAACTTTGGTGTTAAGACAAGTCAATGCAATGTGTTGCCCTGCTATAAGTAATATTGACTACCTTCAGGGCAATACAACATATATTGCCCAAACCGAAGGTGAAGGTGATATATGACAAGTCGTATTGCCCTGAATTAGGTAGTCAATATTACTATTATTAACCACATCAGACATCTAGAGCAAACAAGAAACTTTTAATATCTTATACTCTTAAAATTATGTAACATACAGTAGCCTACACTGTACAGGGTTTCCTAGCTTAAAAACTTTCAAAAACATCTTCAAACCAGAACTGTGCATCCAGTGTTTGACAACATTGTTGATACACTGTAAACAGTGTGCCTTGGGTGTGATTATTACGTCACGATAGAGTGCGCATAACTCGAAAATCGCTGTTCTGAGAAAAATGACTTTGAAGTTTAGAGGTTTCAGCTTTTTTAGGAGATGGGTATAATCCAGTTTTAGCAATGGGACAGGAAGAAGCATATTAAACACTGATAACTGAAGAATTTTGTGCTTATTTGGGATTTTAATTATAAAATAAATGAGATTTTTGTGCAGATAGACTGTTTAACCACAGCCCATGAATACCCTCCCACTACACATCATAAAATGGTAAAATGGTCTATCTTCTAGAAATACCATAAACACTATTGCCATACTACTAACTCGAAGATAGACCATTTTACCATCTGACAGCGATGATTAAAAAATTTCAATTCAGAAGGTTAAAAGGTTTATGTAAAAGATAGCTCGTTTTACCCCCAAACGATATTACCGGCAATGGGCTAACTCAGAGATAGACCGTTTTACCATCAAATCTGAAGGAAAAATACAAAAAAGTACCAAGATAGCGGAAATTATCTCTAAAAGAAGACATGATAGGATTTTCTCGATAGCACCATTGGAAATAGCGCCCTCACATTACCCGGAAAGTGAATTTACCTCAAAAAGTCAAAATTTCGAGTTAGACCGTTTTACCATCTGACGGCCGAGAGTGCCCAGGTTCTCATACGCGTAATAGATACGCAATGAAAATTACAAAAATATCCGGATATTGGCTCTAAATTATTGTCCGCTAATTTAACACGCATTTTGCCATTGACTTTTCTGATCGGGCAATAATATTTGTTATTTGGTTAACTCTGTATTATTATTGAGCAGTAAATTACACACAAAATCTCATCGACTTTGCTGAGCGGTCAATAATATTTTTTTGCCCATAGTTTTGTTAGCTTATCAATTAAACTTTGAGGGCAATAACATTTGAAAATTGTCCTGCTCAGATGTCTGATACGGGTAATAATATAGAAATATCGACTGCTTTGGGAGGCCTGGCTGTTTTTATATGCTCAAGGGAACTGCGCAGATCCCCCCATTACCCTGAGACGCGCATGGGTGGGCGGCGCGCCGAGGGGTCATGGCAGGATCTGCGCGGTTCCCTTGAGCATATAAAAACAGCCAGACCTCGAATATTAAAGCAGTCGATATGTCTTTATATGCCGATTTCAAAGAAAAATCTACCAAGAATTCTTACCTTATTCTTTTATATAGTAAAGATTGGTTAAAACATCATGGAAAATCTGAGAAACTGTCTGTTTTATCTTTGCCAGAAAAATGACTGAAATTTTCGATCATTTGGGAATCGCCGACAAAAGCGCTCGCTCAAAGGACATTTTAACACGTAAACCAATGGGTATTGCAGCAAAATTTTAGTATTTTCCTGGTAACCAGAATTTTGAGGGATTTTACACTTGACTATTAAATGGTTTTGGAATTTTTTGTTTCTTTACGGGAATGGCTAAAATCACGACTCCAATTTCGACCAATCAGATGGCTGGATTTCTTAAGTGAGGTATATAATTAATGATACAACAATCTCTCTACCCAATACATGTTCATGTAGGTGTTAATATTTGTGTGGCATAAAACTATCTTGAAAATTTCCCTCATTCATTAATGCTTCTTCTTTTGCTTTTCCTTCATTTCTTTTTCTTGGTCTTTATCTTCCTTTTCCTTTGTATAATCCTTCTTCTCCCTAATAGCTTTCTATTTTTGTTTAATCTTTGATTTTTGCCATTTTTAGATACCTGCCATTAGTCTTTTCCCTTCTATTTGACCTCATACTTTTCTTTCAAAATGAGATATACATGTACATGTACATTAGCAGAATATGTTTTTTCTTTGTGTACATATCTTACCGACAGTGTATAATCGTTATCATTTATTTGTCCTAGTTTTAGTATATTTTTCTTATTTGTGAAAAACAGATGTCTTTTCTCATTGTCTCTCTTTATCAGTTGATGCATACCTGAATTGTCTGTTCTGTACCAGAGCCCAGCAAATGGCCATGTTAATGTTGTTAGAACAACAACTAAAACAATTTGAAGAATTGGTGATGTGACCTAGGGAAGAAAAAAAGGAAGAAAAATTGAAATAAGTAAAATGCTACCCCTTAAATAAACTTATAGATGTTGACTCTGTATAATGAATAAACATGTAAAATCACCACAACTGAAGGGAGTCAAAGGACCTCACACACATTGTATAATTATCATAGGTAGTTGATTTATACAGAACTGCAGTGGAGGTATCTAATAATGCAGCAGTGTAAATGTAATGTAATGTTACAAATACAATTAGTTTTAATATTGGAAAAAATAATAAAAATTCAGCAATTTCAGCTCACTATCTTGTAATTATCTACGACAGCAAAATAAGAGGATAATAGAAACTACATGTAATAACATTAGAGTGAAAAATAGACAAAATTGAGAGAGAGAAAGAGAGAGAGAGAGAGAGAGAGAGAGAGAGAGTGGGAGGGGTGGGAGAAGGGGAAGAGGTGGGGGGAATGGATGGTTATTTCAAAAATATATATTTTGGTCCATCAAATCTCTAGTAAAATATGTTACATATTCCAGATATAAAAAAGGGACTAAAGACTATTCACTCATTCCAATATCATCCATTTGGTCAAGTATATTTGATAACGTGCATACCTGGTCCACTTTCAAAATGCATTTCATAAACATCTATCTAATTAATGGCCCATTGTCCTGAGTTTAACTAGATTATGACGCCACTGCCTCATCTAATCAATAAGTGACTACGTAACATGTTTGGCAGCACTCATCACAGAGTAGGATGTTTATGCCAAGAGCCATGTTGCATGACCTTTCTATAGAGAAAGAGAAACATGGCAATAAAACATTCCTCAAAGACTGAATACATGTACATGTACGTGCCTCTCAATTCTAAACTAAGTACATTGTACTTCAAACACTTCACATATCTATGCTCTTAAATAGGCTTATCTTTAAGCTAAAGACAATTAAATGACCCAAATGTATTGTATTAAATTCTTTGTAAACAATTTAAAAAAATTAAATTAAAAAAAATTGGAAAATTTTATTATGGTTAATCTCTGTAATTATGGTAATTATCATTATTTGCAATGAGGATAAATAGAGGGTTATTTTTACAGACATCTCCCTGATCATACAAATGCAACAAGTTTTCAAACAGGGTTGGGAAAATAACGAGCATTAGTTGTCAAATCGACTTTAAGTGATAGCAATCATATTAGTAATAGTCTTGATTTTCAGACCCTTGTACCGAATCGGAATGGTCGTACGTTTAGTGCTGCGCAAAGATTCAATCAATTCAATTTTGGCCATTACAAGAAGTGGGTTATTGATGTAGGCAAATGGTCATGTATCTTTACAGCTCATTTTATGAGTTATTACCAAAGAAGAAAAAAGAAGCCAGTCAGCATGGTCAGTCACTCAATAGTGTCTGACAGGGAAGTCTAGAGAGAAAATGGTAATGCATATTCAATCTTGGACTGACCATAATTCTGCATGTGTTTCACCATAATCTTTAGAAAATCCTTTTAAAATCCATGCAAACCATTACTTGGGGTATAATTTCCTCCTTATTTTCATTATGATTTTATTACCAACAAATGTGAACTCATCAGTTTAAGTTAATTTGACCATAATTCCATGTTTTGTTCAACCAGAATTCTTTAAAATCCGGGGAAAACCGATATCCTGACCCTAATCCTAGGAAGCCCGGGCCGGACAAGCTTCAGTCAGGATCTGCGTCTCCAAGCAGAGGATTTCCTTTCATCAAATTGGCAACCCAAACTCTAACACCAATCCATTTCCCTTTCATAATAAACATGTATCAGATTCCTGTACATGTGTCAACCCAGGGCAAACAAGGCCATTTAATAACCTACAAGAACAAGTGAGACTGACATTATAGCACAGGGGGACTTGACTATTCATACAGCATTTTCACACTGGCGTAAAATTCATCGTATCTAAAGCTGATTAGTTTAAAGCTCTTTAACTAAACAGCTTTAAAGGGCAAGTTCACTCCAAAATCTAACTTACTTTCAATAGAAGCAGAAAAATCAAACAAACCTATCAAAAAAAAACTTGAGCTAAATCGGATAATCATAAGAAAGTTATGAATATTTAATGACATGAAAAACTTTGAAAATCACAAGACAAATTGGCAACTCAATCAGGAGTCTGTGACGGCATTGCCTCACTATCCACTAATTGTTTTTTTTAGTATTGATAATATAAATTTCAAATTTTCCCCTTAAAAATCTTATTTCCGCACACCAGCATCCAAGTTATATTGAAAGTAATATGTTTTTGTGTGGATGCACTAATATAGAATTTTTCTTCAATTAAATCATGGAAAATGTGAATTTTTATAAACTACTTATATAAAAATCAATGATTATGAATACCGGTATACAATATTCAGAAAATAATATAAATTCTTCATAGTTTATAAAAGATTTCGTGAAATGTCATGCACGCAATATGATGCGAATCATATAACCTGAGGAAATCAAGTTTTGGGGACTAAAAAGGGAAATTAATGGGATAAAAATACATGAAGCAATTAATAAATATTGAAGCAATGACGTCACAAACTGATAAATTGGCAATGTGTGTAGTGATTTTCTAAGTTCCATAGTTTTTCATATTTAAAAAAAAATTTGTAACTTCCCTATTAGTTTTCTGAATTTACTCTGTTAAAAGAGAATTATTTTTTTGGAGTGGACTTGGCCTTGTAAGTAAATTTTCCTTGTGTGATTTCGGACAGATAGTAAAGCCCCGTCTTAAAGCTTATCTGCCATAGTTTACAGGAGAGATTAGACCGCCCTACAAGGTCACTGAACAGGTGGTTATCTCATCAACTCAGCTCTCAGTTAACATAAGAGGATCATGGGGGACCAATGGTCACCGATTAGGCATTGTTTGTTATATAGAGGGCGCAAGTAGCTACAAGTAGTACAGTGTGCCTTTAATAGAACTTTTTCGATCTCACCCGAGCGACATGTGGATGAGAAACAGTGGGGGGTCTGATCGTAAAACATGGGGTGAGCTTTTGGAGACCGTCTTAATCAGCCATCCGCAAAAAGCCAAAAACCTCACCCGGGTAGGTTACCATAACAACCGCACCTGTCTCATCACGATCAGCTAGCGAGCGCTGGGGACATGTATACATTTTTTCACGGCGATGACGTAATTTACCCGGGTAAATATCACCCTGGCTCTCTAGGGTGAGATTTACCTCGATATTGTCCGGACGTAATACCCGATTGACCCGTCTTAATTGGAAGGGGGTAAATGTCGTCCGGATGTCACCGCAACTTTATTTTCCAGTTAAGACGGGGTTTAAGTTGCGATCTATACGCCGGTCAGAGCAGGCTGCAGATACAAAGTCCGTATCTAGAGAGCAAGACATTTTGTGTGTGAACGCATATACGTCCTTAACTGGGCGGAGCTAAGAAGGGGCACTGCTCTCTAAACGCTCAGTAGGGCAATTGCGCATTTACGAGCAGTGAGTCACTGCTCGTAAATGCACAATAGTTCTACTGAGTGTTTAAAGAGCAGTGAATCTCGAATGACCGCACCAAAATTGTTTTTGTGTTAATGATGTTGTATCTAAAGCTGATTAGTTTATAGCTCTTTAAACTAATCAGCTTTAATAAATGTGTCCACTGTGTGAAAGCTGTGTAGGATCTATCTTAGCATGCTATAAACGACTTTAACTTCTTAAACTGAGCATTACAAATAAACAAAAAAAGTTCTGGGGCCATATGCTGAAAAGAATGTTTTATTTCATGGAAAATTATGTGAATTATCTTAACAAACTGAATAATAAATTCAACTTGTGCTTGCCCATATATCACTTAAAAGTTAAACTCAACGCAAATGCAGTCAGTTTTGCGCAGACATGGACCAATAACTTGTCCTAATTTGTTATGATAATTAATATCATTTCGTTGACACAAAAAGGCAAAAGTTTGGGAAAGGCTAGAAAAAAAATGCGTTTTTCTAAAAAGTATTGTTTCCTGCATCCCACTTCTTCTTGCCTCTCTTCTCCCCTCCCGACTCATACAAATATTCTCCATCTACACTATGAAAATTCAAAATTCAGAGTAGGATGTTTATGCCAAGAGCCATGTTACATGTATTCATTGCTACCTTATTCTTTTCTTGTCCTACTTGCTACAAATGTCTGTCTTTGTCTTTTTTAAGCATAGAGCTGCATGTACATGTAAAATACAAGTAACTTCCTGTTTAGAGCAAACAGTACTACAGTATGTCGCAACATGGAAACTACAGATCTTATTCAAAGATTGCTATCTTTTTGAAGAGAGGCCTATAGCATGGAAAATTATTGTAGATGACTTCTGTCTGTCACCAAGCAAGCTTTACAGAGAGTGCTTTAATTGCACATGTTGCAGCTACATTAATGATCCTGTACATTACATTTACATTACTGGATTATATATATATATACCCACTCTACCGGTAATTGCAATCAACCTACACTGACATGTGATGGACTTGCAATTAAAATATTTAAAAGTAAAACTTTCTCCTTTATTCTGTTCTATTATGGGCAAGGTAGCTTATTTTCCCAAGTATTTAAAAACTTCTTTAAAAGTTCTTGAACATGTTTAGTCACATACTTACAGCCTTACATACTTAATTGTCTATTAAGGCTAAAAATTAACTCTGATTAGAGTCACAATGATGAGTTCAAATTTGTGACCACTTCAGTCATCTTTTTCATCAGAATGTAATGGAGACATGCATTACTTTTATACTGTGTGGATGTTTGACATTAAGTCAACTCAAACAGCATAATGACAGTGCTCCAAATTATACAAGAACATGGATAAATATTTATACAAACCTTGAAGAGGTAGGTATGGCTTATAGTAGTACACCTATGTAGTTGTTGGGCACCAAGGTCTAGTGAAATATACTGTTTGATTTGTTATCTCTTGAAAAAATCATAGAAGGTATGGAGGACAAGACGAACACCCAATTTTTCCCTTTTAAAGGTACTATGTCCCTTTTGC